TTCAAATATCTCCAGGGCTGTCACATGGGAGATGGAGCAAGCTTGATTTCTCCTCCTTCTCTTTCATTGGAGGATATTTAAACAGATGTTGGCTGGCCACCTGTCATGGATGCTTTAGTTGAGATTTCTGTATTGCAGGGGTTGAACTAGATGGATCTCAGGTCCCATCCAACTCTACAGTTCTATGATTCTCTCAAATATACACATCTTTGTATTTAAAATTGTGAATGAAGGCTTTGAAAAACTGGGCCAACAGAATGCCGAGGCACTAGAAGCTATTAGACAAAACTCAGCAAGTATTGATAAGCTGACTCGACAGACTAATGAAAATACAGATGTGATTAAAAAATTACTGGAACAATCTGCTGAAACTCAAAAAACAGCTTTGGAAGCTAGAGAAAAGGCGGTAGCTGCTGAAGAAAAATTACCACCTTTAATTAAACAAGTTGAAGAGCACCATACAAGATTGGGAACGCACCAGGAATTGCTATCTGTCCTTGAGCTAAAGGAGAAACAGACCAATTTAAGGATCAGAGCAGTACCTGAGATTGAGAAAGAGAGCCTGGTAGACTTTTTGACACAAGAATTTGCCAAATTTTGGCAATTGAATGATAAGGAAGACTTCAAGATAACGTCTGCTTTCAGGCTTGGAAGAGGAGCAAGAAAGAACAGAGTGAGAGACTGCCTGATTACCTTGCGATCTAAGGAGGAACGAGATAAAATTTTGAGTTTACACTACCGAAATACACTGATAATACAAGACTCAAGGATAGAAATATTTAAAGACATTCCAAAGCTCCTTTTGGAGCTTAGGTCCAACTACCGGGACCTGGTGACGCTGCTGAGAGGACACAGAATTATATTTTCAGGTGGGAATTTCCTCAAGGCCTATCTTTCAGTTTTAAAGGCAAGAAAATTAAAATAAAATCTGTGGAGGAGAAACAGAACTTTTTGAGAGACCATCAAGAGGACCTACAAAAAGGATTGGGGGAGGAGCCAAAAGCCCCTTTACCAGGATTGGATCTTACATTACCACCGTTGGGAGAGGATAAGACAGAGAAGGTGAAACCACCAACAGAGGAAGAAGAGTTATTGGGAGCAGTTGGAGGAAAATAAAGAAACCATCATGGCTCTGCAACTTTTAACTTGGAATGTTTGTGGTCTAAATTCTCCGGAAAAAGGAGGAAAGTATTTCATATACTTAAAAAGAACAATTGGACTTAATCTGCCTACAGGAAACTCATGTGACGAGGCTCCATAGGAAAATACTGATTAATAAGAGATTGGGTCAAGAATTTATTTCATCAGATAAAGTTAAAAACGAGGAGTGGTCATTTATGCAAAGGAGAGCCTCTCACCAAAATTCGTTTTTAAGGATGAACAAGGAAGATTTATAGCAATTGAAATTCAAGCACAAGGAGAAAAATTTTTGATAGTAGGCTTATATGCTCCAAATGAGGGGAAATCTATATTTTACAAAAAGTTGCATGAGATCTTGATGGACTATATGGACTATAACACTGTTTTCATGGGAGATATGAATGGGGTGGTTTCCACAAATATGGACAAGTCACAAAGAGAGGTAGTCACTAAAGACGGTAGACTACCGAAAACATTTTTTGAATTAACTGACAATATGGACTTGATTGACATTTGGAGAACTAGGAATCCCCTTGATAGAGAAGGAACCTTTTTTTCTGAAGCCCAAAAGACATGGACAAGAATTGACCAAATCTGGACTACTAGAGGACTGGCACCTAAGGTTAGGAAGGTAGAGATCTGTCCAAAAACATGCTCCGACCATAACGCCGTGAGAATGGAGATGAAGTTAACATCTACTGGTTCCTTCCGATGGAGGATGAATGACACCTTGTTTAGAGATCAAGAGGTGATTAAGAAGGCCCAAAAGACATTGAGAGACTATTTTGAGATAAACTTGAATACAGCTGTAGAAAAAAGAATAATCTGGGATGCAAGTAAAGCTGTTATGAGGGGCTTCCTGATTCAACAGAATTCATTTAAGAAGAGGGCCCAAAATGTAAAGAAAGAAAAAATTCTGGAAAAAATAAAGGAGGGCGAGAAGAAACTGAGAGTGAAGCCCAATTCACAAGAGATTCTGAGGGAAATAAAATTGCACCAAGTGCAGTATATGAAATTGATAAATCAAGAAGTGGAATGGAAAATTAAACAAATGAGACAAAAGACTTTTGAATCGGCAAATAAATGTGGGAAACTGCTGGCTTGGCAGTTGAAGAAACGACAAAAACTTAATACTATTACTAATTTGGAAGGGAAAAATATCCAGAATCCAGAAGAAATTAGGAAATGCTTCCAGAGATATTTTAAACAATTATACACACAAGGGCCTCAGAAAGAATTTGAAATAGAGCAATTTCTGAAAACCAATGGATTACAAAAAATCTCTCAGGATAACAAGATATTGCTGAATTATAAAATTACAGAACAGGAGGTTGAAGGTGCCATTCAGAATATGCAGTTGGGAAAATCTCCAGGACCGGACGGTTTAACCTCAAAATATTACAGAACTTTGAAAGACTGGCTAATTCGACCATTAACTGAGGTTTGTAATGAAATTTTAGAGGGGAAAAGAGCGCCAGAGTCGTGGAAAGACGCATTTATTACACTTATACCAAAGTCTGAGACTGAAAAGACACAGCTTAAGAACTATCGGCCCATATCCCTGTTAAATGTGGATTACAAAATTTTTGCTGATATTTTAGCAAAAAGGCTTAAAAAGTGCTAAAAGGAGTGATTCATAAGGACCAAGCTGGCTTTCTTCCAGATAGACATCTTTCGGACAATACAAGGAATATAATTGATATTCTGGAGAAGCTGCAAGAGGAGATTAATACTAAAGCAGTTTTGATTTTTGTGGACGCAGAGAAAGCCTTTGATAACATTTCTTGGAGCTTTATGAAGAAAAATCTCCAGGGGATGGGGGTAGGCCAAGAGTTTGAAAACGGTATAAACGCAATTTATTCAGAACAAAAAGCTAAATTAATAGTTAATAATGTGATAACAGAGGAAATTAAGATAGAGAAAGGGACACGACAAGGCTGCCCAATTTCCCCATTACTTTTTATTTCTGTCCTGGAGGTTTTGTTAAATATGATAAGAAGGGACCATTTGATTAAGGGGATAGCGGTCGGAGCGAAACAATACAAACTGAAAGCATTTGCAGATGACCTTGTATTGACATTACAGGAGCCAGAATCTAGTACGAAAAGAGCATTAGAACTGATTCAAGAGTTTGGTCAGGTGGCAGGCTTTAAGCTGAATAAGTTTAAAACTAAAGTACTTGAGAAGAATTTAACACCGATTGAAAAAGAGAGGTTTCAGAATGAGACAGGTTTAACAGTGGTTAAAAAAGTGAAATACTTGGGGATTCATATGACAGCTAAAAATGGGAATTTATTTAAAGACAATTATGAAAAGTGTTGGTCGGACATTAAAAAGGATTTAGAAATATGGACAAATTTGAAGCTTTCCTTGTTAGGTCGAATTGCTGTCATCAAGATGAATGTATTGCCAAGAATGCTGTTTTTGTTTCAATCGATACAAATAATAGACAAAATGGATTGTTTTAAGAAGTGGCAGAGAGATATTTCTAAGTTTGTCTGGCAGGGCAAGAGGCCCAGGATAAAATTTAAAATATTGACTGATGCTAAAGAAAGAGGGGATTTGCCCTGCCAGACCTTAAACTTTATTATGAATCGGCAGCTTTCTGCTGGTTGAAGGATTGGTTACTTCTGGAAAATACTGATGTTTTGGACTTAGAAGGTTTTAATAATGTGTTTGGGTGGCATGCATATTTGTGGTATGACAAGGTTAAAGCTCACAAAATATTTAAAAACCATATTGTCAGGAAAGCATTGTTCAATGTCTGGATAAGATATAAAGACTTATTGGAGAATAAAACCCCAAGGTGGCTATCACCAATGGAGGCAAAGGCCCTGAAAAAGTCCAATATGGAGGCCAAGTGGCCAAAATATTGGGAGATCTTGGAACAAGAAGGAGATAAATTTAAATTGCAGAGTTTTGAAAAACTAAAAGATAGAGTGCGAGACTGGTTGCATTATTACCAAATAAGAGAGGTTTATAATTTGGATAGAAAAATTGGCTTCCAGGTGGAAAAATCAAAGTTGGAAACAGAACTGTTAGATTCCAAAACTAAAACACTTTCAAGAATGTATAACTTGCTGCTAAAATGGAATACTCAGGATGAAATGGTAAAATCTGCTATGATTAAATGGGCACAGGATGTTGGACATAACATTATGTTTGCTGACTGGGAACGGTTATGGACCACAGGTATGAAGTTTACGGCATGTAATGCCTTAAGAGAGAATATTATGAAAATGATATACAGGTGGTACATGACCCCAGTCAAGCTTGCAAAAATCTATCATTTGCCCGATAATAAATGTTGGAAATGTAAAGAAACTGAAGGTACATTCTTTCACCTTTGGTGGACGTGCCCAAAGATTAAGGCTTTCTGGGAAAGGATATATAATGAGTTGAAAAAGGTATTTAAGTATACCTTCTTAAAGAAACCAGAGGCCTTTCTCCTGGGCATTGTTGGCCAATTGGTGCCAAAGAAGGATAGAACTTTCTTTATGTATGCAACAGCAGCAGCAAGGATACTTATCGCAAAGTATTGGAAGACACAAGACTTACCCACTCTGGAAGAATGGCAGATGAAGGTAATCGATTATATGGAATTGGCGGAAATGACTGGCAGAATCCGGGACCAGGGAGAAGAGTCGGTGGAAGAAGATTGGAAGAAATTTAAAGACTATCTACAGAAATACTATAAAATTAATGAATGTTAAATTGAGGTCTGATTGAAAATAACTGGTATTGGCAAAAGCCTCGCGTTTAAGAGTATGGAATATTTGATTGATAAGGTTGTAAAAATACCTATATATAAATAGATTAAGCTTCTTGAGTTAAGATAAAGGAAGGAGGGTAAGGATTTGCTGAAAGGAGTTTCTAAAAGGAAATACAAGTGGGGAGGTGCGGGAAGTCAAAGAACCAAGGAAAGATTAGAAGGTTAAATGAAATTATAAATTTTTAAATTTTTCTGTTTTATTGTTATTTTTTGTTCTCCTTTTGTTACTGTTATTGTTGTTTTTTGTCTTTGAAAATCTGTATTTTTGTATGTTTTGGAATTTTTGTAAAACCAATAAATATTATATTAAAAAAAAAAAAAAAATCTCCAGGGCTGTCACATGGGAGATGGAGCAAGCTTGATTTCTCCTCCTTCTCTTTCATTGGAGGATATTTAAACAGATGTTGGCTGGCCATCTGTCATGGATGCTTTAGTTGAGATTTCTGTATTGCAGGGGTTGAACTAGATGGATCTCAGGTCCCATCCAACTCTACAGTTCTATGATTCTCTCAAATATACACATCTTTGTGCACATTATTTGGCCAGAGAGCTGCACTGAAAAATCCGTGATTGGGGCAATGGAGACCATGTGGTGCTTGGTGTGTTTCCCAGCTATTCAATTCTCTCTCACCCGCATGCATGTGCATCCACCAGCCTATGTGTGTAATGCACACCCAGCCTATTACCAAACAGCCCCCAAACGAAATGGACAGGCCACAAGATTCCAGCTCTCTTCGCACAATGCTGCTCAACGTCCTCACCCTCAAATCGAAAACACTTCCCCAATCTCTGTTCTGGAGCAGTTTTCTGGGCCAGGCGAACAACGATTCCTTGTGCAGCTGGTAAGCAGAGCTCTCACGGCCAACATCTGACTCCGGGAGAAATTGAAAACAGTCCTCCCCACGCAAATCTGTATCCACGTGGCACGCCATGTATTTATTATCCTGTGGGGTGCTGGGCAGGGAGATAAAAGTGAGTTGAACAGAATGAGGATTCTGGCTGGAATCTTCCAGGGTTCCAGCAGTCCGGGGAATAGAAAAACAAAGCAAAAATATCCTCTCTCTCTGTGCGTTGGTGGGATAATCTATGCTATAGAGTTCTTCATCTACCATGCAGTACAATCATGTGCTGCTTTAAGTCTCCTGTAAGCATCTTAGACTTGACTGAAATGCACCACAAAGGATCCACAAGGCTCCCTTGTGGGAGAAAGAAGCCCATTACAGTGGTACCTTGGGTTACAGATGCTTCAAGTTACAGACGCTTCAGGTTACAGACTCCGCTAACCCAGAAATAGTACCTCGGGTTAAGAACTTTGCTTCAGGATAAGAACTGAAATCGTGCGGCGGCAGTGGGAGGCCGCATTAGCTAAAATGGTACCTCAGGTTAAGAACAGCTTCAGGTGAAGAACAGACCTCCAGAATGAATTAAGTTCTTAACCCAAGGTACCACTGTACAGAGGATCAAGAGTATGGTTACCAGACGTCCCCATTTCCCGGCAACAGTCCCCGGATTTACAAATCTGTCCCTGGACAAAATCCGTCCCCGGAATGTCCCCGGATTTCATTTAATGTCCCCGGATTTATATTTTAAGTGTTGTAGATTTATTCGTAGGGAATGAATGTTGTGCGATTGGTTCAACGGCACAAGACACATCATACGGGGACTTCCGGCGAGGCAAAATAGTGGGTGCCATGGCAGTGAGCAGCTCCTGAAGCCAGCCAGAGCCAACTGCGCTACCAGGCTGGCTCTGGGCTGCTGAGACTTCTGCTGCTGCCGCCACTGCGAAGGGGGAACCGGGGATGCCTGGTGCGTCAACTGGGGGAACCGCTGACACCCCCAAATCAAGCCAGGAGCAAGAGCGCCTGGCCAACTGCCCAGCGGCGCTCCAGGGCCAGGAAAACCCCGGAGCTGACGCAAGGAGAAGGAGAAGAGGAGAAGGAGAAGTAAGAGAGAGAAAGAGGAAGGAGAAAAAAGAGGGGAGCCCCAACCTTGTCGCACCGCTGCAGCCACTCAGGAGCAGAGGTAGGAGAGCACCGGGAGGGCAAGGACATGTGGCCGAGCCCAGACCTGACCCGAGCCTACTCCACGGCAGCTAGCGCTCCAAGAGAACAGGCTGGGGCCCAGAGGAAGGCCAAGCGACAGAGGAGACCACAGAAGAGAAGATGTTGTTGTTTAGTCATTTAGTCGTGTCCGACTCTTTGTGACCCCATGGACCAGAGCACGCCAGGCACTCCTGTCTTCCACTGCCTCCTACAGTTTGGTCAGACTCATGTTTGTGGCTTCGAGAACACTGTCCAACCATCTCGTCCTCTGTCGTCCCCTTCTCCTTGTGTCCTCCATCTTTCTCAACATCAGGGTCTTTTCCAGGGAGTCTTCTCTTCTCCTGAGGTGGCCAAAGTCTTGGAGCCTCAGCTTCAGGATCTGTCCTTCCAGTGAGCACTCAGGGCTGATTTCCTTCAGAATGGAGAGGTTTGATCTTCTTGCAGTCCATGGGACTCTCAAGAGTCTCCTCCAGCACCATAATTCAAAAGCATCAATTCTTCGGCCATCAGCCTTCTTTATGGTCCAGCTCTCACTTCCATACATCACTACTGGGAAAACCATAAGATATTACTTCTTAATTTTTTAAAATAACTTTTTAAAAATATCTTTTCTCTCTCTCTCTTTAAAAAAAGTGTCCCCAGATTCTTTGAAAAAAATCTGGTAACCTTAATCAAGAGAGCCTTAAGGTCCAGCTGGGCTGTGAGGAGGCTAAGATTTTAAAGCATTATCTTACTGGCCACCTAGCAGGGATATCGTAGGAGTGGGTGTCCTACATTGGAAGTGGGTTGGGTTGGATTAGATTGGCTTTGAGGTGCCTTCCACCTCTATGATTCCCTCTACCAGGTTTATGGAAAAACTGGGTTTTTATTTTTTTTGTAATGTCATGGAACCATAGCTGTCAACCTTTCCTTTTTTGCAGGAAATCCCCTTATTCCAGCGCCATTTTCTGCTGCTTCCTGCTGCTATCCTGAATTGTTAGATATCCTGTAGACTGTCCCCGGGACAGGGGAAGCTGCTGATCCCTTATTTTCGAGGCTGCTGATCCCTTATTTTCAAATCTGAAAGTTGACAGCTATACATGGAACATTCAGGGTCCAATTTTATGCTGCCTTCAATCTGCCGTAACAGTATTTCATAGAATCACAGAACTGTAGAATTGGGAAATGATACATAATGAGTTGAAAAAAAATGTTTAAAATAATCTTTGTTAAAAAGCCTGAAGCCTTCCTTTTTGGAATTCTAGGCGCCGAAATCTCAAGGGATCATAAAAGACTATTTATGTATGTGACCTCGGCTGCACGGATGTTACTGGCCCAGAGATGGAGAGAAGATGTGTAGTGGTTAAGAGCGGTAGACTCGTGAGCTTAAGGAGAAACAGACAAATTTGAGGATCAGAGCTGTACCTGAACTGGAGAAGGACAGTTTGATAGACTTTCTCACACAGGAACTTGCAGAATGTTGGGAGCTGGATTTGGAACAAGAGGAATTTAAAATTGTGAGGGCCTTTAGATTGGGAAGAGGAGGGAAGAAAGAGAAGAACAGAATAAGAGACTGTTTGATTACCCTCAGATCTAAAGAAGAGAGAGACAGAATTTTGGGTTGGCATTACCAGAAGACTTTGGTAATACAACAGTCAAGAGTGGAAATATTTAAAGATATCCCGAAACATCTTTTGGACCTTAGGTCCAATTACGGAGATTTGGTTGTCCTGCTGAGAAGGAACAAACTCATCTTCAGGTGGGAATTTCCCCAAGGCCCATCCTTCAGTTTTAAAGGAAGGAAAATAAAAATAAGATCAGTAGAAGATAAAGCAAAGTTTTTGAATAACTATGAGGAAGATCTGCAGAAGGAACTTGGAAAAGAGTTAAGAGCATTGGACAGAAGATCACCAGACAGAGGATTAGAGCAAAGAGCATTGGACAGAAGATCACCAAAAAGAGGAATAGTGGACATTGCAACATTACCTTTTGGACTGGACCGCCTAGTGACACCGACACTACCAACAGAAGAAGAGCAGGCATTGGGTGCAGTTGGAGGATAATCAGAGTAATTACATCATGGCACTGCAAGTATTAAGCTGGAATGTTAATGGACTGAATTCCCCGGAAAAAAGGCGGAGAGTCTTTCATTTATTGAAAAAAGAACAATTGGACTTGATTTGTTTGCAAGAAACACATGTGACAAGGCTACATAGGAAGATACTGAGTAATAAAAGATTGGGCCAAGAATTTATTTCATCAGATAAAGTCAAAAAAAGAGGAGTAGTCCTTTATGTAAAGGAGAGCCTATCACCGAAATTTATATTTAAAGATGACCAAGGAAGATTTGTCGCAATTGAAATTCAATCATAATGCTGTGAAGATGGAAATGAAACTAACACCAACTGGTTCCTTTAGATGGAGGATGAATGACACTTTGTTTAGGAATGAAGAAGTGACTAAGAAGACCCAAAAAACCTTGAGAGATTATTTTGAGATAAATATGAACACCACTATTGAAAAAAGAGTAATCTGGGACACAAGTAAAGCGGTTATGAGAGGATTTCTGATACAACAGAATGCAATTAAAAAGAGAGTTCAAAATGAGAAAAAAGACAAAATTTTGGAGAAAATAAAGGAAGGAGAGAAGAAATTGAGAGCGAAACCAAAGTCGCAGGAGATCCTGAAAGAGATAAAGCTATATCATGTACAATATATGAAAATGATGAACCAGGAAATAGAATGGAAAATTAAACAGATGAGACAAAAGACTTTTGAATCGGCAAATAAATGTGGGAAACTGCTGGCTTGGCAAATGAAAAAAAGACAAAAACTTAATACCATTACAAATTTGGAAGTGGAAGGAAAGAATATACAGAATCCAGTGGAGATCAGAAAGTGCTTCCAGAGGTACTTTAAACAATTATATACACAGGAGACGCAGAAAGAAATGGACATTGACCGATTTTTGAAAACAAATGGACTACAAAAAATCTCTCAAGAAAATAAACTAATGTTGAACTACAAAATAACGGAGCAGGAGGTAGAAGGGGCCATCCAGAATATGCAATTAGGCAAATCTCCAGGACCGGATGGTTTGACCTCAAGATATTATAGATCCCTGAAAGAATGGTTAGTACAGCCATTAAAAGAAGTTTGTAATGAAATATTGGAAGGGAAAAGGGCACCAGAGTCGTGGAAGGAAGCATATATTACACTTATACCGAAAACAGAGTCTGAGAAGACACAGCTTAAGAACTACCGCCCCATATCTTTGCTTAATGTGGATTATAAAATTTTTGCAGACATTTTGGCTAAAAGATTAAAAAAGGTACTAGTAGAAGAAATTCATAAAGATCAAGCGGGCTTTCTCCGGGCAGACACTTGTCTGACAATACAAGGAACATAATTAATATTCTAGAAAACTACAAGTGAATATTAATACTAAAGCAGTTTTGATATTTGTGGACACGGAGAAAGCCTTTGACAATATTTCCTGGAGTTTTATGAAGAAGAATTTACAGGGGATGGGGGTTGGTCAAGGTTTTGGAAATGGTATAGGTGCAATTTACTCAGAACAAAAGGCTAAATTAATTGTGAATAATGTAGTGACGGAAGAATTTAAGATAGAGAAAGGAACACGACAAGGTTGCCCAATCTCCCCATTGCTTTTTATATCGGTCTTGGAGGTTCTCTTAAACATGATTAGAAGGGACCAAATGGTTAAAGGTATACAAGTCGGAGCTAAACAGTACAAATTGAAAGCATTTGCCGATGATTTGGTATTGACATTACAGGAGCCAGAATCTAGTACCAAAAGAGTATTGGAACTGATTCAAGAATTTGGTCAGGTAGCGGGTTTTAAGTTGTATAAGATGAAAACTAAGGTTTTAGAGAAAAATCTAACAGTGACTGAAAGAGAGAGGTTAAGAAAGTGAAATACCTAGGGGTCAATATGACTGCCAAGAATGTTTATTTAAGGATAACTATGAAAAATGTTGGATGGAAGTGAAAAAGGATTTAGAAATATGGTCAAATCTGAATGTGATGGGATGATGAGCTGCTTGTGCGTAAAATAGTATCCCCTCAGAGTTTGTTCAAGTCCACAAACCTCTGTCTGTGACGGAGCCCCTCAGACATGGCTCCTCTAGTCACTAGCAGATTCCGACAGTGGTTGCTTTCGGAATCGCTTCCAACATAAAAGCTCCTTAACGGAAACACGTCTTCTGGACTCTCTGCGTGACAGTTTCCGGCGAGGAGTGGGTGTTCCTACAGGAGGTCCTGAAACCTCCCCACTGTTTTCGCTGGAAGTGTCTCTGAGCCATCCCTCCAGCTCACTTTCCCTCAGCTCAGCTCCTCTCCCCTACTGGTTCCCTCTTCAGCTGCTGAGTCTCTCCCAACCTGTGTGAGCCCTTTCACCTCCCTTCCTTCCGATGGCAGTTCCCTGACATCCACCTCCCCTCCAGGGCCCCTTTCACCCCCTCTCGCCCCCTCTACGGGCGGTGAGGAGGCAAAACCCCGGAATGAACTTCCTTCATCTTCCGATGTCTCGAACACTTCTCTCCACCTGTTGCGGTTCCTGGTCTCGAAGTACTCCTCCTCCTCAGAGTCCATCTCCCTGTCCCCGTCCGAGTCCGGGAATCCTTCCAACTCCTCCTCCTCATCAGTGGTCCCAAAGTATTCCCTCCGGAACCTCTCCACAGGCTGAGGTTTCCTTGGGAACCTTTGATGGAACGTTTCTATCAATACCTCGTCATTGATATCTTCGGCCATTACCCAAGTGTTTTCTGACTCGGTTCTCCTTCCCACGCTACCAAATACTCCACCTGATCCCCCTTCCACCTGGCGTCGAGGATTTCTGCCACATGGCTGCTGCATTCTCTTTCTTCTATGACCGGTCCCCGAGTGGCCATCCCTTCTCGTCCCCTTCGTACGGTGACAGTAACGACCTGTGAAATACTGGGTGCAGTTTCATGTGGTTGGGTAACCGGAGCCTGAAAGCCACTGGGTTGACCTGTTGAATGACCTCAAAGGGACCCAACCTCCTGGGTCTTAATTTCTTACAACCTCCTTTGAACGGCAACCCTTGGGTTGACAGCCACACCCTATCTCCCACCCTTATGGTTTCACCTTCCCTTCGGTTCTTGTCTGCCTGCCTCTTGTATTCTTCCTTCGCCCTTTCTAAGTTGAGTTGGAGCTGACGATGGATTGCTTCCATTTCTTCCACAAAATGCTCGGCTGCCGGGACGCTCCATCTCTCCCCATCTCCCCTGGGAAAGCCCTGGGATGACACCCATAATTAGCCAAGAAGGGGCTCATCCCTGTGGACACATTCTCGGCATTGTTGTAGGCAAATTCCGCCAGCGCCAACTTTTCTACCCAGTCATTCTCTCTGTCATTGACATAACACCTCAGGTATTGCTGGAGGACACCGTTTGCTCTTTCCGCCTGCCCGTTGGTTTCAGGGTGCCGGGCAGTCGAAAAATTGACCTCCACCTGCAGTAAGCTCATGAGCTTCCTCCAGAACCTGGAAGTAAATTGTTTTCCTCGGTCTGAGACCACCCTCAATGGCACCCCGTGCAACCTAAAAATGTGTTCTACAAATAACTTCGCTGTCTCTTCCGCCGTGACTGCATGCGAGCAAGCTACAAAGTGGCACATCTTTGTTAGTAGGTCTACCACCACCATGATGGCTGTTTTCCCTTTGGACTTCGGCAGATCAGTCATAAAATCTATCGACACTGCCTCCCAAGGTCGTTCTGGGGTTGGTAAGGGTTCTAACAGCCCCGCCGGCGCCCGCCTTTCCCTTTGGCTCGCTGGCATTGCTCGCACCCTCTTACATACTCACGTACATCTTCCTCACCTTAGGCCACCAAAATTCCCTGGTGACCAACCACATGGTTTTGTGTTGTCCAAAATGCCCCGCCGTAGGGCTGTCATGCAACTGCTTGAGTACCCTCCCCCTTAAGTCTCCTTCAGGGATATACAGTGCCCCTTTGTAATACAAAGCTCCATTTCTTTCCTCGAAACCCCTGGTTCCTCTCCCTCACCCCTAAGACCTCTGAGCTTATTCTGGGCGTATTCATCATTCTCTGTTTCCTCTACCAGTTCTCTTTGTCCCACCAATGCCGCCCCACACACCCAGCGGTCCTCTGGAATGACATGTCTCTCTTCGGGTGCTCCCTCCCTCCAAATATTCAGGTTTGCGTGAGAGAGCGTCCGCCCTAATGTTCTCTGGGCCTGGCACGTAACCAATCTCAAAGTTAAATTTGGAGAACTCCTGGGCCCATCTCACTTGCCGTTGGTTGAGCACTCGTGCCGTCCTCCAATACTCTAGGTTCTTGTGGTCAGTGCACACTTGCACCTTATGTTGTGCGCCAATTAGCAGGTGCCTCCATCTCCGGAACGCCTCATGAATGGCTAGTAGTTCTCGGTCATACACCGTGTAGTTCCTCTCGGATTTGTTCAGCTTCGCGAAAAAAGCACACGGTCTCCACTCTGACTCCTCCTTCCCTGGCTGCAGAAGCACCGCCCCAATCGCTCTGTCTGATGCGTCAGTTTCCACTCTCATCGGTTTTTGTAAATCCACATGCAGGAGTTGTTGTTCCGAGGCGAAGGCCCTTTGTAGTTCCTCAAATGCTCGCTCCGCCTCCTCAGTCCAAACGAACTTCTTCTTACTGCTGAGACAGTCCGTAATGGGCGCCGTCAGGTGGGCAAAGTTTCGGATGAACTTACGATAGAAGTTCCCAAATCCTAGGAACCTCTGCACATCCTTCCTTGTTTTGGGTGTTTTCCATTCCAGCACCGCCTGGACCTTGCCGGGATCCATGGCCAATCCCTTGTCTGACAGGCGATACCCCAGGAATTCCACCTCCTTGGTATGAAACTGACACTTCTCCAGTTTCACCCACAGCAGGCTGGCTTGCAGCCTGCTCAACACTTCTCTGACGTCTCTCACATGCTGCTCCTCATTCTCAGAATACACCAACACGTCGTCTAAGAAGGCCACACAATTCTTGTAAAGCAAAGGCCCCAGGACGTGGTTCATAAACGATTGAAAGCATGCGGAGCCTGCTTGTAGGCCGAAGGGCATAACCAAATATTCAAATGCCCCTAAAGGGGTGAACATGGTGGTTTTCCATTCATCCCCCTTCCTTATTCGTATCAGGTTGTACGCCCCCCTTAGGTCCAGCTTTGTGAAAATCTTTCCCTTCCGCACCCTTGTCAAAATGTCGTCAATCCTGGGCATAGGGAAGGCCACTGGTTCTGACACTGCATTTAAGGCCCTGAAGTCACACACCAGCCTCGGCTTGTTCGTGTTTTTTTATCCACAAAAAAAACACTGGGCTGCCCCCCACCGCCCTGGACTCTCTGATGAACCCTCTCTTCAGGTTCTTGTCAATGAACTCTCTTAGCTCCTGCATCTCTCTGTCTGACATGGCGTACAGCTTGCCTACAGGGAGCTGTGCCCCAGGGAGTAAATTGATTTGACAGTCAAAGGGTCTATGCGGGGTAGTTGGTCAGCTTCCTTTCGCTGAAGACGTCGCGGAGATCTGCGTATTGTCGTGGTACCTTCACGTTCTCCGTTACTTCAGTCCCTGCTAGGGTGGCTTGGGCCCCTGCCAAACCCTTTCCTCTTTGCAGTGTTCTAAGCAATGTGCTGAACCAAAAGAAACCACTCTCTGATGCCAGCCCACCAGCGGATCATGTAACGCTAGCCAGCTCATCCCCAATATAATGGGAGCTCCTCCCAAGGTGGCCACATTAAACGCTATCAGTTCGGTGTGCCTTGCCACCTTCATTATCATTGGGACGGTCTGCAAGCTGACTTCTCCTCCCAACAGCTCCCTGCCATCGATCGTGGTCACCTGCAGGGGGTTGCTTAAAGGGATCGTCTGTATCTGGTGTTCAGCTGCAAACTCTTTGCTCATGAAATTGCAGGAGCTGCCTGAGTCCAACAGCGCCTTTATCTTTAGAGGGTGTCCGCTTGGCAGCTCTAGCGCCACTTCTATCACTAGGGCGGGTTTAGGAGGTTCTGGCGTGGGCACTCTCACTGCTCTTTGGCCTGGCTGCTGTGCCCCGACGGTGGCAGCCAGGCGTTGGCTTTTACTTGCTCCGGTATTTCTTCCTCTCTTCCCTCCACAGCTCCTACCATCCCTTGCCATTCCTTCCTCTGGGGGCAGACTCTGGCAAAGTGACCTGGCTGTTGGCAGAGATAGCATTTCCGGGCGCGTTGTCCTCCTTCTTTCCCCTCACTGGGCTTTGAAACTGCGCGCGCGCGCTGTTCCGATTTCCATCGGCTCTGCCGGCTGGAAAGTTGGCTCTGGAATGTCTGGAATGCGGAACTCCTTCCAACGCTCCCCTTCCCTTCCCGCCTCTCCAATGCTCTCGCTCCTGGCGCGCCTCCTATGGTCAGCGCTGATTTGGTCAGCTGGTCCATAGACTCCGCCCTGGGCGCCCGGGAAAGTTCGTCTTTCACAGCCGAAGAAAGCCCTTCTTCAAAGAGCATTTGAATGGGTTCCGCCGATAAGTCCCACCCCAATCTGTGAACCAGCATGGTGAACTCAGTCCAGTACTCACGGACAGATCGGCTCCCTGTTTGCAAGCCATTAACTGTCTGCGCACCACTCCCTGTTCAATATCGCTGGAAAACATCAGATCCATGGCGCGAAAGAACTTCATCGTGTCCTTTAGGACGTCACTATTCGCTGCCATCAGGGGTCTAACCCAGTCTCTCGCCCCTTTTCAAGATGCCCAATCACGAAAGCCACTCGTGATTCCTCGTCAGGGAATTCATCAAACTGCAGATTGAGGGCATATTGCATCTCTGTCCGAAAGCCATGATAGTCTTTGGGCTCCCCAAACTTCTGCACCAATCCTGGTACCTTTCTGGCGAGCTGGGTGGCTTTCCCTTTTGTCTGCATCCTGAGCCCTCCTCTCCTCAAGCCTCGCCGTCTGCAGCGCTAGCTGGACCTCCAACACCCGGTACCTTTCTTCCAGGCTTGGACCCGCTCCAGCTCCTGCTTCTCCGGTTCCGGCTGGGTTGCTCATGATGCCTTCTCCTGCACAAGCTGCTTTCAAAGACTGTCGGAATGCTGTGATGGGATGATGAGCTGCTTGTGCGTAAAATAGTATCCCCTCAGAGTTTGTTCAAGTCCACAAACCTCTGTCTGTGACGGAGCCCCTCAGACATGGCTCCTCTAGTCACTAGCAGATTCCGACAGTGGTTGCTTTCGGAATCGCTTCCAACATAAAAGCTCCTTAACGGAAACACGTCTTCTGGACTCTCTGCGTGACAGTTTCCGGCGAGGAGTGGGTGTTCCTACAGGAGGTCCTGAAACCTCCCCACTGTTTTCGCTGGAAGTGTCTCTGAGCCATCCCTCCAGCTCACTTTCCCTCAGCTCAGCTCCTCTCCCCCTACTGGTTCCCTCTTCAGCTGCTGAGTCTCTCCCAACCTGTGTGAGCCCTTTCACCTCCCTTCCTTCCGATGGCAGTTCCCTGACACTGAAGTTATCATTGCTAGGCCGAATTGCTGTGATAAAAATGAATGTATTGCCAAGGATGCTGTTTTTGTTTCAAACATTGCAAATTTTGGATAAAATGGATTGCTTCAAGAAGTGGCAGAGAGATATCTCTAGATTTGTCTGGCAGGGCAAGAAGCCTTGAATAAAATTTAAGATATTAACCGATGCCAAAGAAAGAGGTGGATTTGCCCTGCCAGACCTTAAACTTTATTATGAATCAGCCGCGTTTTGCTGGCTGAGAGAATGGCTGCTTCTTGAAAATACTGACGTGCTGGACCTAGAAGGTTTTAACAACGTATTTGGGTGGCATGCATATTTGTGGTATGATAAGGTTAAAGCACATAAAGCGTTCAAAAACCATATTGTCAGAAAAGCGCTGTTTAATGTCTGGATAAGATATAAGTACTTGCTTGAAAATAAAACCCCAAGGTGGCTGTCACAAATGGAAGCGAAGGCTCAGAAAAAGCTTAATATGGAGGCCAATTGGCTGAAATATTGGGAAATTTTGGAACAAGAGGGAGACAGATTAAAACTGCAGAATTTTGAATAGCTAAAAAATAGAGTGCGAGACTGGCTCCATTATTACCAAATAATGGAGGCGTACAATTTGGATAAAAAAAATTGGCTTCCAGGTGGAAAAATCAAAATTGGAAACAGAACTGTTAGATCCCAAAACTAAGAACTTGTCAAGAATGTATAACTTGCTGTTGAAATGGAATACTCAGGATGAAACGGTGAAATCAACTATGATTAAATGGGCACAAGATGTAGGACATAATATTATGATGGCTGACTGGGAACAGTTATGGACCACAGGTATGAAGTTTACGGCATGTAATGCCCTAAGAGAGAATATAATGAAAATGATCTACAGGTGGTACATGACACCAGTCAAGCTTGCAAAATATATCACTTGCCCGATAATAAATGTTGGAAATGTAAAGAGACTGAAGGTACATTTTTTCACCTTTGGTGGACGTGCCCAAGGATTAAGACATTCTGGGAGATGATTTATAATGAAATGAAAAAGGTATTTAAATATACCTTCCTGAAGAAACCAGAGGCCTTTCTCCTGGGCATGGTCGGCCAATTGGTGCCAAAAAAGGATAGAACTTTCTTTATGTATGCCACAACAGCAGCAAGAATACTCATCGCGAAGTATTGGAAGACACAAGATCTACCCACCCGGGAAGAATGGCAGATGAAGGTGATGGACTACATGGAACTGGCGGAAATGACTGGCAGAATCCGAGACCAGGGAGAAGAGTCGGTGGAAGAAGATTGGAAGAAATTTAAAGTTTATTTACAGAAACATTGTAAAATTAAGGAATGTTAGAAGGATGTTGGAATGAAGTAATGTGGTTTTAGCAGAAATGCTATAAAGGATTAAGAAAAAACAGATTGTTAAATGGTGAAAGGAGGGAAAGTAAAGTTACATTATATTAAGATAAAATAGAGGACAAAAATTGGAAAAGATGGAAAGGACTTGCTGAAATAGCTAACTGAACTAGAATACAAAAAAGGGAGGTGTGAGGAGGTCAAGGAAACAAGCAAATGAAAGATAAGTTATGGGAAGATTTATTGTATTTTTTTCTATTTTTTCTTCTTTTTTCTTCTTTTCCTTATTGTGATGTGATGTTCTGTTTTTGCTTAATATGCTGTTTTCTATTTTTTCTTTTTGTAACCTTTCAAATCTTAATAAATATTATTAAAAAAAAAAAAAAGAGCGGTAGACTCATAATCTGGTGAACCGGGTTCGCTTCCCCGCTCCTCCACATGCAGCTGCTGGGTGACCTTGGGCCAGTCACACTTCTTTGAAGTCTCTCAGCCTCACTCGCCTCACAGAGTGTTTGTTCTGGGGGAGGAAGGGAAAGGAGAATGTTAGCCGCTTTGAGACTCCTTCGGGTAGTGATAAAGTGGGAGATCAAATCCAAAGATCAAGTTCCTCCCTGAGAAGAATGGCAGATGAAGTTGATGGACTATGCTGAAATGGCTAAAAGGACCAGAAGGATCAGAAATCAGGAAGACCAAAATTTTAATAAGGAATGGGGGAAAATTGATAACTTACCTTAAAGACCATTGTAAACAGTTAAAATTGTAAGTAGGATTGGAATATCACTTGTAGTTTAAGGTTGAATTCTGGACACAATGGAGATGTAAAGGATTATCATAAAAGATGCGGGACGAAATGATTAATAATAGGACCCACAGAGGGGAGGATGGAAGTCCAGGAGATTCCTTGGAATCTTGTTTTTATGATTTATGTTTAATATATCTCTGTAAGATTTTAATTTGAAAAACCAAATAAACATTTTATTTTATTTTAAAAAGAATTGTAGAGTTGAAAGATGCAGGGATCTTTTTGCCCAATGTGTGGCTCAAACACGAGGCCAAGAGATTAAGAATCTTGTGCTCTACCGACGGAGCTATCTCGTTGGCTTATTTTGTTTATTAATAAAATAAGAATCATTTAATTTAAAAGGGGGCAGAGCAGCAGATGTGGCTTGAGCCTTCTTGCGGCAGCCTACGTTCAAGTTGTGCATGATTGAGAGGCCCTTACATGCGCATCGTGGTGAGCAAGAGGCATTAAGAGGAAAGTACAGTTTAATTTGCAGTGGTGGCCATCAATGTGAATGGCTCTAAAATGTGAATGGCTCTACTAAATGATTTTTAAAAAACAGCACTGTCGATTGAATGGCTTCTGGCTCAATTTGAGTTGTCATGATGTTCATTTCTCAGTGACGTCTTAGAAGGGGGTGGAATCCGAGGCAAAGTGCTGCTTTAGTAAAAATGTAAATGGGTATTATAGTAAAAAGAAAGCAGAGTGGTTGTAAATCCCCATGCAAACAAACGTGAGCCTTAGGGAACATAAATAGTCTTTAGATGATGATTTACATGTGGGATTGTAGGTACTTCCCCCCACCTTCCAGGCTCTCTGTATGCTTTCCTGCAATTGAATGGAGTTTAGGAATGGTGGAAGAAAGCCAAATCAGTGGGATATTTGTGGCTTTTTTCTCGTTAGTCCCCCTACTTTGAAGATCTCTGCTGCCTGTCAACCCCAATCCGTTTTGCTCTGAAGCCAAACTGAACCGTTGTTCCTTGTGCTGCTTCCATGGAGTCCCTTGCCAATGCTTGATCGGGAGTGAGGTGGATACATGGATATGTGTGGGGCTGGAGAGAATGACCGTTGTACCCTTTGACCACCCCTCCTTTTAGAGATAGGGGGTGAATTCGGTTCACCTTGCATTTAGAAGCCAATCTGTGCGGTCTGAAATAGCCAGAGATGCATTCTCATTGGAAAGTTAAGGGACCTGGACCTTTCTTCTAACATCTGTGATTGGATGTGGTGTAGTGGTTAAGACTGGTGGATTCGTAATCTGGTGAACCGGGTTCGCTTCCCCGCTCCTCCACAGGCAGCTGCTGGGTGACCTTGGGCCTTTCACACTTCTTGAAGTCTCTCAGCCCCACTCACCTCACAGAGTGTTTGTTCTGTGGGAGGAAGGGAAAGGAGAATGTTAGTCGCTTTGAGACTCCTTTGGGTAGTAATAAAGCAGGATATCAAATCCAAACTCTTCTTCTTCTTCTTTCTGAGACATCGGACACAAATAGTGAGGACTGGGCCTGTTACATCTACGTCCCTGAAGCTCAGCACTGGCACTCCACAGGGATGCGTGCTGAGTCCATACCTGTATTCGTTATATACATATGATTACATTTCATCTGACCCATCTACTGCAATTGTTAAGTTTGCTGATGACACCACCATAATGGGTTTAATTACAGGCAGAGATGAATCTGCGTACAAGGGGGAGGTTCAAAAGGTATCCACATGGTGCTCCGAGAACAATCTGCACCTAAACATTGGCAAGGCAAAGGAGATGGTGTTGGGCTTTCAGAGGAAGAGAGGCGAGCTAGCCCCATTGTATATCGGGGAGGGGGGGAGAGGCTGTGTGGAGAGAGTCTCTTCCTTTAAATTCCAGGGAGTCCATCTTAGTGAAGACCTTACTTGGAAGGTCAATACAGCCCAGGTAGTT